GAAGACTTAAATTTGACCACATTTCAATCTGGTTTAGACTTTTCTTCAGCAATGAAAACAAGCTTCTTATTGTTAAGTATCATCCAGTCAATTCTGACTCACAGATACCCTGTATAGGGTTTCTGAGGCTATAAAGCTTTGCTGGAGCAGAAAGCCTCTTCTTTTTCCAACCCATCAGCCGTTCTGCCGGAGAAAAAAATAAGACCGTCTTCTGTAAAGATTTACAGCCTAGGAAGCCCGATACAGACAGGGTTGCTGAATCAGAATCAACTCAGTGGCAGTGGGTTTGATGTGTATCAGGAAGAAATTATTTAATCCAACCCCCTGATTTCATTAAAGTTTTCTCGCACAATCTTCATTTGATTTTTAAGTCACAAAATAATGAATGCTAATTGTATGTAAAATTGTCAATGTTTTTACAACTAGTAGGCCCAGTGCTTATTCCTGTGGTATCATCTGGGATTTTTCTTTTAAACACAGATTCCAGGGTTTCATTGGTTTATTCATTCAACAACAATTTGAACACCTAGTGTATGTTCTAAGGCCCCGGATGGTGCAAAAGGTTAATGCCATCAGCTGCTAAGTGAAAGGTTAGAAGTGCAAGTTCCATCCAGAAGCAACTCAGAAGAAAGACCTGGCTGATCTAATTCTGAAAAATCAGCCACTGAAATTCCTATTTAGCACAGTTCTGGGGCCACTGTGAATCAGAATAGTCTGGATACAAACTTTTTTTTTTTTTTTTTTAAATTATGACCTGGAACTCCATCTTAAATATACAGACATTTTTCCTCCAGGATGAATTTTCTGAAACTCAATTAAAATGTCAGAATTTAATTTAAAGCTTGAATCACATTTGTCGATAGTGATACCAGTCTGGGAATCTGAAATCTGGGGTCTGGTCCCAGTCCTACCCTACTGAACTTCAAGCAAGCCTTTGGTTTTTCTGAACCTTTCCCACTAAGAGTATTAAAATTCTGATAACGTTTACAATTTTACATACAATTAGCATTCAATATTTTGTGACTTAAAAATCGAATAAAGATTGTGCAGGAAAACTTTAATGAAGTCAGGGGGTTGGATTAAATAATTTCTTCCTTGTACACATTAAATTTACTGTCCCTGTGTTGATTCTGACTCAGCAGCCCTGTATAGGACCTCCCAGGCTGTAAATCTTTACAGAAGACTGTCTTATTTTTCTCCTGCAGAACGGCTGGTATGTTGGAACTGCCAACCTTGCAGTTGCAGTCCAGTTCTTATCCTACAGGGGTGATAGAAATATAGATTACTTCCATCTACTTTTCTGTTTTTCATACAAAGCAAATGCCCATCCAAAGCCTCTTCTAGTAGGGGAGCATCGCTTTCGCTAAGGCTGATCCACTTTAACGAGCAGAAGTTACTCAATGAATGTTCCATTTTTCTTCTGAATTCAAGAGCATCCAAAATAGAGAAGAAACGGTAAGGTAACTCTGAAGGCGAATCAGGCAGCAAGCCTTCTGGAACACCAAGATGAAAACCGGTCTCCCCTGCCCAAAACAAGACAGAAAAAGAAGAAAACCTCTGTTCCCTCGGGCTTCGATGCAGGGTCCAGGTGTCCCCGCAGGGCCCTGTGCAGCCCCACAGCGGCCCTAACCTCTAACCTGGTACCCATCAGAGGACAGTCCACGTCTGACACCGCCCACCCTTTTGCGCTTGCGCCTCCTGGAGCCTAGCTCTCTGTAGACTCGCAAGTGCGCGTGGTCTCGTGGCGGGGTAAGGCGGGGATAAGAAGGGTGGGGGCAGCGCACGGCCGCGCTCTCTTAAGACTTTGGGAACATACAGTCCTTCGGGGGAACAAGCGCCCTTTCTCCCCCTGGCGGACAGTAGTGAAACAACAGGGCTTGGGGAAAAAAGTGTGCAGAGCGTTGCCCAGAGGCGAGCCGAGGCATTGACACCCTTTGACCTCGTTTTTTCAGCACCTCCCTTCTTTCCCAAGCTTTCATATCTAGTGTGCGTGGAGGAAACAGGAAAGACACAAACTTTGAGCAATCAAGTCCACTCTAACTCATAGCAACCCTATAGAACAGAGTAGAATTGCTCCTTAGGGTTTTTGTAGAATGGAAATCTTGATAGGCGCAGACAGCTTCATGGCTGTCTCGAAGAGGGGCTGGTAGGTTTGAACCGCTGACCTCACGATTAGCAGCCCAGTGCTTAGCATGTCAGTCCTTAGAACCCTGGAATCGTTTAGGGATGAGTGAAACCATTTCTATATCGTACACCTGGGGAGAAGAACTTTAGATGAGGCACTATCCAGAAGATGCCACCAATTCCTCTTGCCTTTCTAGAGATGCAGAAGCGAGTGGTAAGAGCACTTGTATAAGGTAGAGGACCCTGACCTTTAACCTGAAGAGAGAAGGGGATACTAAGTGGAATTTGACTGGGAAGCCGGGGATTTCATTAATGGAGAAGCTTAGGTACCAGGGATATAGGGAGAACCTGCAAGCCAAATTAAATTTAGTATGATTCTTAAAACCAGTGTGCCTAATGAAATATTCCTTAACATTCTACTGGCTTTGGAAGCAGGATTACAGTGTCAAGGTTCCAAAGACTCGGTGTTTAAAGGGTTAAGAGGATGATGTAATCATCTGTGACTCAAGAGTAGCTGGCAGATCTTTGAGGATGACAAGTAGAACCTATTCAGAGTACACCTGAACCGAAACATTGACTAATGTTAACATGAATATGGAAAGGTATTTAAAAACCCTATTGGAGGTGGAGGGGGGGGAAGTATTGGGATTCCTAAATGTATTCAAGATCAAGGTACAAAAAATCCAGATGATAGGACAAAGTCTAAATGAATAACAAAGGAAAGAGGCCTCCGAAGAAAGAAATGTAAGAAAAGTGAATTTCTGAGAAATTGTGAACCTAGAAAACGGATAGATTTTTATGGTGACTCTTGCCCATGATTCTGGAGGAGACCCACAAAAGTCTTAATTCTTCACAAGGCAACTGGGGACAGATCAACAAAATACATGGAAACAGTGTGTTTTCTAGAAGTCTTAAGAGGCATGAGATGGAGCCTGGGCTTTAGTCAGATTGACTTGGATTGGATTTCTAACTTTTCCTTTAAGATCTGTGACCTTGTTGTTACTAAGTGTCAAGTCAGTTCCAACTCATAGTGACCCTTATAGGTTTCTGGGGCATTAAGTATTTGTGGGAGCAGAAAACCTCATCTTTCTCCCACGGAGCAGCTGGCAGGCTCAAACAGCCCATCTTGTGGTTTTTAGTGGAGTTATCATACAGAACCACCAGTCTGTTGACCCTGGGCAACTCATTAATCTATTCAAACCTCATCTGAAAAATGAAGACAAGATGACCTACTATACAAATATTTTCAGGAGGAAATGATATGGATATAGAATGCTAGCAACGTGGTTGTATGTACAATGCAGAATAGAATAAGCATTTCTCTGAAGTCTAAACAAGCCCAGAGGCATCTTAAAACAGTACATAGTCAATAAGACAATCTTTAGGGAAAAAACATTCTACTATCTTTGAAAACCTGAGTGACCTTACCCATACAGACCCCCATGAACTGTCTGCATCACTCAGCTGGCTTGGAACTGGGGACAGGTTTGTATTATTTTCTTGCTCACATTTGTCTCCACCAGATTACAAACCACTCAAGTGAACACTCATCAAAGTATCCACTACATTCCAGATCTTGGTCACTGGTGACAAATCCCTGAAGACCGGGCAGTGAAAGATGCCAAGAAAAAGGTACAAAAAAGTGCCAAGGTAGTAGCATCAGGTGTGGAAACCAAGAGTCAACCTATTTACACCTTGCCTGGAGCTGTGGTTCAGCTGCATTTGAGGCTGTGTTTTAGGCCACTTGCCCCTCACAAAGTAAGCATTAGAAAGCTGTGGGGAAGCAGCTCAAAGTTTCCCATGTGTAGAAGTGCCTTCCTGATCAGACTGAAAACACCGGGATTCCTTGGTCTGTCAAAGTGAAGACAGGACAGGGATATAAACTAACCGGCTAATGGTAAGGCAGCACAGCCTGGGTTTGTACCTATGAGGCAGAGCATTAAAGCAGGCAAGCATCCCTATTGAAGTCTTAAAATAAAATACTTTGAATGTGTAACACTCTTCCCAACAAGCTAACATGGATAAGATGGATACATGTAGATAGTGTGACCAATGCACTATTGACACATGTAACACAATTTGGGGGAACTAAAGGAGCTCTGGTAAGAAGCTCTGGTAGCGTAGTGGTTACGAATCGGGCAGCGAACCTTAAGGCCAGCAGTTCGAAACTACCAGCTGCTCCACGGGAGAAAGATGAGGTGTTCTGCTCCCGTAAAGATTTACAGCCTCGGAAACCCTGTACAGGGTCGCTATGGGTCGGAACCGACTCGATGGCACTTTGCAACAACAACAAAGGAGCTCTGGTAGCGTAGTGGTTACGAATCGGGCTGCGAACCATAAGGTCAGCAGTTCGAAACTACCAGCTGCTCCGCGGGAGAAAGATGAAGCTTTCTACTCCCGTAAAGATTTACACCCTCGGAAACCCTGTACAGGGTCGCTATGGGTCGGAACCGACTCGAAGGCACTTAACAACAACAATAGCTGCTTTGGAGAACTTTAAAATAGGTTAGGTGATGTCATGAAGCAGAAGGCCACCCCCCCACCAAACGTCCAGGTCTTGTCATGAACAGCTAGCTGGGCATCAGTGGGCTGTGTTCCTCCATCTCCTCTTGCGTCCCTATCCACTCTGTTCAGGTCAGTGGGAAAATGATGGCAGAGGCAGAGATGGACACACTGGGTAAAGGAAAAGCAGCAAAACCAGAATGGCTGTGCAGCTTGAAGAGATGAGCCCGAGTTCTAAGCAAGAGCAAGGTGGAAATGTCTGGGACTGATCTGGGTCATGAATACAAGACTGAAGTCGGACCTGCACTTGACTATAAGTCATCTATGCCGCCATTAAAAACCCACAACACACAAACTTGAGTCACAAGCTCCCTCTGTTTGCTATCCTTTATTAAAGGGTCCCATGCCATCGCGGGACTCCAACCAAACCAGACAGGTCCTCCAAATATAGTAGGAGGCCTGGAAGGGGAGGGGAATGACTTATAATCCCACAACACCTCCCTGGAAACAGAAACCCACCACAGACAAGACAGACAGATGTGGCAGGGGAGGAGAACTTGCCTCGTTCGTAATTCTCTTCCCTTTGCCCCTACTTGAAAAGAAAGTCAAACACTGACTATGCAGCTCCCCAGCCCCCCACCCCACCCATAGCAGCGTTTGTGGGACACCCACCCCCCTGCAAGGGGTGGCCCCGAGGGAGCATCCTATCTTCTCTTCTCTTCCTTCCTTCACTTTGGTTTGCTCCTGGCAACTCCATGCCCTCTTCCTGCCTCCTGCCTCTGGCCTCCGACCTCATCACCCCCTCACATCTTCTATCACCTACTCCGACCTCCCAGTCTCCTTCTCTCAGTCTCCCGGGCCTCCCTGCCCCAGGGCTCCTGGGGAAGCAGTGTCTCAGGCTTGTCTCTCCTTCCTTCCAGCACAGGCCTGGCCAGACTGCCCAGGACTCAGGGCTCACACAGCCGCCCCACTCTCCTTGAGGTCAGGGGCTGAGCGCTGTCGTCTCATCCGGGGGGGAGTAGTGTATGGGGGGTAGCGGGGCCCTGGGGGCCTTTGGGCTGGGTATGGTTGGGGCTGCTGGGGATAATAATTGTGCTTTTTGGGCTGGAAGTGCTGGGGTTCAGGCTGCGAGGAACCCCCTCCTCGGGGTCGGCCCCCTCCATCTAGGGAGTTCCTGCGGGGGCGGTGGGACCTGCGGGGACTTGGGGGCCTTCGGGCAGGGGTGGCTGGAGGGGGAATGACCTCCTCTGGGGGTGGGGGAGGAACTGGGGCCTCCCCACCCACCACCCCTGCCATTCCCGGCCAGGACTCCCTATGCTGAGGGTTGCTTTTGAAGGGGAAGCGCAGCTTGCAGTCGTGCGGGGGTACAAAGCGGGCAGGGGGCCTGCGCAGCCCCCCACCCCGGCCCCCAGAGCCTTGCAGTCCCTGTAACCGCAGCTGCTCCTGCTTGAGCCAGCGAAGGCGGCCTCGGCGGAAGGCAGGGTCCTCCTCCATCAGTCGTGACACCCGTTCCCAGCTTGACAAGGGAGGCGAGGGGGGCCGGGCTGAGGGCGGCCGGTCACTGGAGGCAGTCTCTTCTAGGACCTCAGACACCTCAGGAGCAGCCCAGGTGGTCTCACAGCCTTCTTCATTCTCATCCTCATGATCCTGGGAAGGAGTGAGGGAAAAACAATAGTGATGTAAGAGCTGAGGCCGGAGACCAGCAGTCCTGGAAAGAGATGTCAGAAGGACCAGGAAAGGTCCCAGGAAGGGCTTAGAGAAAACCAAGGAACACAGGCCCCAAGAGCTAGATGGCATGAGGTCAAGGTTGGGTCTGCCACTTCCTAGCTGTGGGATCTGGATCTCTGGCTTGTAACCAGAGTGGGTGTCCCACAAACGCTGCTATGGGTGGGGTGGAGGACTGGGGAGCTGCATAGTCAGTGTTTGACTTTCTTTTCAAGTAGGGGCAAAGGGAAGAGAATTACGAACGAGGCAAGTTCTTACAAAATGACCTGAGTAACTTATTGTAAAGACAAGGATTACAGGAGTTAACAGTGCATGGTACACAGCAGACACTCAGTTAAGTGTTTGCTAAATAAATAAAATGGAAGTAACCTACTATCACACAGCTTCGATTTTAGTGGGGTGAGAAAGTTGACAAATAAGAAAAGTCATAGTATGCTGTTAGTTAAGTGCCACTGAGTCGGTTCTGAGTCACCGTGACCCTGCAGTTTCCAAGAACAGCTGGTGGGTTTGAACTGCCAACCTTCAGGTTATTACTGTTGTTGTTATGTGCCGTGGAGTCGGTTCCGACTCATAGCAACCCTGCAAAGGGTTTCCGTGGCTGTAAATCTTTACGGGAGCAGGAAGCCTCATCTTTCTCCTGCGGAACAGCTGGTAGTTTCGAACTGCTGACCCTGAGGTCAGCAGCTCGATTCATAACCACTACGCTACCAAAGCTCCTTTTCAGGTTAGTACTCCAATGTTTATCCTACAAAGCCACACCAGAACCCCATAAACAATATAGTGTATGTGTGTGTCTATGTATACACGTGTATGTGTATGTTGTCCTTATTTACTGTACACAATGTATACGATATATCTACACACACATAATGTATATATATGTTGTCACTGGCGACCTTAAAGTGGATTCATAGTGATCCCTGTGTGCAGAGTAGAACTGCTCCACAGGGTTGTCTAGGCCTTGACCTTTTGGAAACAGATCACCAGGAGTTTCTTCTGAGGTACCTTTGGGTGAATCTGAGCAACTAACCTTTCCACTGGTAGTCAAGCACTTAATGATTTGTGACACCCAGGAACTCCATATGATATGAACAAAGGTTAGTCAAAAAGTATTGCTACAACATCCTAGAAGCCTTTATTAAACAAAAATACCAGAATATGAAGTTCTTTTTTTCAACATATTCTCCATCTAGGGCTATACACTTCTGAAGGTGGTGTTCCCATCTCTCTAACCCTTCTCCAAAGAATTCGCTCTCCCATTTATAACACATCAAAAGGCACTTTTGCAACCTTGAAGGACTCAAATCATGTTGCTTTGAAACGTTCTCTCAGTTTGGGAAACAAAAAAGTCTGAAGGGGAAAGATCAAGGCTGGAGAACTTGCCAATGAAATTCTCCTAGGACAGCCCTTGCTAACCTGGAAAAATGAACAGGTGCATTGTTGTGATGCAGAAAGATTCCTTGGCACAACTTTTCTTGCCTTTTTTTCACTAATGCAGTTTCCAATTTTCTTAAAACTTCCTAATAAGCCCCATGATCGTCCTGTGTCCTTTGAAAAAAAAATCTATCAGGATTATCCTTCTGAAAACCCAAAAAACAGTTACCATACATAACCTTCTGAGCTGACCTCTGTGCCTTAAATTTAACTGACCCAGCAGATGCCCTTGGAAGTCACTGTTTTGACTGGACCATGGCTTCTGGATCCTATTGGTTAAATTAAAGACGTTCTTGATTATGATTTGTTCCATAAAATCATCTCCATTAGCTTCAATCTTGCTTAAAAGACTGATGGGCAGATCAGCTCTTTAAGTCAGTTCATCTTTGTACACTGGTTTTTTTTCAGCACTCTTTTTTCGAAGGTACCCTAGTGAGACTACGAGGGGGGTATGACTGCAGCCACCCACTGATCACAGAGCCACGTTTATATGTGTTTTGTTTGAAATAAATCTGTGTATGTATGAAGTAGAACCCTAATAGCAATACTTCTTCATTTATCCTCATATCTACAAATATGTTGTTGTTGTCAAGTCAGTTCCAACTCATAGCAACCATATATATTGTTATTATTAAGTGCCATCGAGTTGGTTCCGACCCACAGTGACTTTGTATAGGGTTTCTGAGCAGCTCATGAGCTTGAAATCACCAGCCTTGTAGATCAAACCCACCTTATGGTCAAGGGCTTATCCTACAGTGCCACACCAGGACCCATACACACACACCCATACACACACACCCACCCTTATATAGATACATACTATATGAAAAGATGTACACACACTATATGAGGGTGGCAGTAACACATATATAGTGAAACCTGTGAGACCCAGAATTCAACAAGACTGCCCATTCTAATTTTAAGGTTCTGACCTTTAAGCATAGACCTGAAGGAAGAGCGGCAGCAAGGTGGCTATTTGAGGGAAAGCCATCTGGGCAGAAAGAACGGCAGGTTCCTAGAGGCAGGAGTTGGCCTAGCAAGCTCAAGGAGTAGCAAGGAGGCCAGTGGCACTGGTGTGGAGAAAGCAGAGGTCAGAGAGGTGAGCTAAGTCACATCTGACTGTTGGTCTGTCCTCCCCCATTAGAAAGTGAACTGGACGAGAGGAGAGTTTGTGTCGGTAATCCTGGTGGCTAGAACAATGCCTGGGCACACAAGCACGCAAATATTTACTTGTTGATGAATGAATGCAAAACAGGGACTGGTGCTGGCACTACCACTCTGAGAACTCTTTTGTTTGTCGTTGTTGTTAAGTGCTGTTGAGTCGATTCCAACCCATAGTGACCCTGTATAGGGTTTCCAAGGAGCAGCTGGTGAGCTTGAACCACTGACTTGGCAGTTTAAACGACTTTGCAGTCTGACGCATTAGCCCACAGTGCCACACCAGGACTCCTCTGAGAGCTCTAGAGAGGGTTAAAGGAGAGAACTTAGAGAGCTATGTTGTTAAGTGCCGTTGAGGAGGTTCCAACCCATAGCGACCCTAGATAGGGTTTCCAAAGAGCAACTGGTGGGCTTGAATGACCGACCTTGAGGTTCAAACGGACTTTGTAATCTAGCCCATTAACCCACAGTGCCACACCAGGACTCCTACAGTGCAGATTAAATGAGGTAACACAGAAAACACCCAACACAAGTGTTCCCACAGCTCAACTGGTCAGCCAAAGGGGAGTGAGCTACACAAACCAGGAGTCTACAAAAAGTTCATGGAAAAATTCCATTTTCTCACAAACTTGTAGAAAGGTATTAGTGTTGTTAGTAAGTGCTGATTGTATGTGAACTTCAAGGAACAGCTGGGGGGTTTCAGCCACCACCCTTATGATTAGCAGTCCAGTGCGTACCCTATAGCGCCACACGAGGATTCTGTAGAATGGACTACACCTATGTAAGCCATGACTGAACTGTAATTTAAAACTTGTGTCCTTTCTATCAGTAGTTATCAAAGGCCCTTCAGAATTACCTGGGTAGCTTTTTATAAAGCCAATTCATATTCCAAAAATTCTGATTTACTAGGTCTGGGGTGGAACCCGGGAATCTGCACTTTTAAATTAGCACCCTGGTGATTGCGAAGCAAGGGATTCACAAAGAATACTGAGAGAAACTGTCATACCTTGGCAAAATTTAGTTTAAAGAGGCAGAGGGTGGACTCAGCGGTGGGTGGTTCAGGTTCCTAAAGGGAAGTGCTGAGGAGGGGCTGGAGGGTTCTGGGACAGAGATGGGAGGGAGCAGCAGGGCCTCCTACCTGGGTGAGGGGGATGACCCTCTCCATGCGGAGCATGCGGTCCCTCAGGGCCTGCAGCTCCCGGTCCTTGCTGCTGTTCTGCAATTTCACCTCCTGCAGAATCCCTGTCAGCTTGTCTATGTGAGCCCGGAGGTCTTCCACTTCTGCCCCGCGGGCTCCCTCCTCACCGCCGCCGCCACCACTGCCACCGCCACCTTCCTCCTCGCCCACCGTGTCCCAGACATCCCGGGCCACAGCCCTCCAGGCGTCTCCAGGCCCCTCCGGCTTGCCGTAGGTGCGGCACAGCTCCCGCATCTTGAGGGCAGCCAAGGCCTCGATCTCAGCTCGCCCGTGGCGAAAGTCAGCCAGGGCCACCTCATAGCAGATCTCCTTCACCGCCTGCATCTTCAGGTCAGCCATGGTGGCCCAGCGGGGGTCTTTGCCCTGCAGCCGACGCCGCTGGGGGATCTGGTAGACCCTGCGAGGGGCCCTGCGCTTGCCGCTGCTGGGCAGGCCGCAGCGCTTGACGATGGTCTGCACTGTGGTGGGGGGCAGCTGCTCCCGCAAGGAGGAGATCAGCCTCCAGCTCTCCTCACAGGAGCGCTTGTCAGAGTCATCCCCACTGTCCGAATCAGCATACTAGGACAGAGAAAAAAGAGAAAGACACTGCATACCCCTGAACCTAGTCCAGTGGGCCCCAAGGACACCAGAAACACCCTTCAGAGTGAGTGTGTTCAAATCCTGCTCTACCCTCACCCTCACTAACCATGTGCTCTTGGGCAGGCTACTCAACCTTAGAATAGAGATAATAAAAGTGTCCCATAGATAAATTCTGACGATTAGTGTATGCAGAATACTTAGAACTATGGCTACCATAGAGAAAGTGATCAATAAATTTAACTATGTCTACATCAAGTAAAGGAGTCCTGGTGTGATGCTGTGTGATAACGCTCTCGACCACAAGGTCAGTCTGAACCGAAAAGTTGGTGGTTGAAACTCACCAGCTTCTCCTCGGAAACCCTATACAGGGTTGCTATGAGCCAGAACCAACTCAATATAAAGGAGCCCTTGTGACATGATGGGTTAAGCACTGATCTACTAACCACAAGGTTGGTGGTTCAAACCCACCAGCCACTCTGTGGGGAAAAAGACGAGGCTGTCTGCTCCCATAAAGATTTACTAGCTCAGAAACTCAGAGACACAGCTCCACTCTGTCCCACAGGGTTGCTATGAGTTGGAATCGATTTGGTAGTTTGGTCTCTCAAGTAAGTACGTTTAAGGAAAAATCTTAACTAAATAAAGTGCAGGGGATACTTGGGTATAATTTGCTGTTGTTGGCTGCCGTCAAGTTGGACCTCAACTCATGGCGACCCTGTGCACCAGAGGATCAGATCAGTGTGATCCCTAGGCATTTTATTAGCTAATTTTTTAGAAGTCGATCACCAGGCCTTTCTTCCTAGTCTGTCTTAGACTAGAAGCTCTACTAAAAGCTGTTCAGTATCCCAGTATCACACAAATCGCACTGACAGACAGGTGGTAGCTACGTGTGAGGTGTATTATACAGAAGGTGAGTGTTCTACTGTGGCATCCCACTTGGATGTGGTAAGAAGCAGCATAGGATCAACTGACATCTAAGATAGCTTGGTCAACCGGGAGGAACTTTATAGCTCCCTGCACATGACGGTTTCCTTCCTAGATCACGTCTCTCTCATGTTTCCCTCTGGACGCTGCCCCCACCCTCATCCCCATCACCACCTCCCACTCTGGCTCAGAGCATGAGTCAGGCTGACATGCAGCCCAGTCTCACTGCTTGTCAGTCCACTCACCAGCCCACCTCCAGCCTCCCTGCCTACGTGCCCTTCACACCCCACCAGCCCCTCTACCTGGACCCTCACCAGTCGCTGCTGCTCCAGCAGAAGATCAGCTTCTTCCTTCTCTCTCCGGTACTGATTCTCCAAATCCTGCAGCCTAGGGGTGGGTAGGGAGGGAAGGAAGAGCTGTGTGGGGTTCAGGAGCCACTTCAGTGGGTGACCAACCACAGGGGGGCCTACTAGGGACAGCCCTTAAGGGCCATGGAGTGCGAGTGGCCTTCCTCACACCTCTTCTCCATCTCCAACTTGATATCAATGCCTTGCTGCTCCAACAGCTCCTTCTGGGCAAAGTTCCAGTCGACAGGCTCAGAGGGCGGTCCTGGGGGTGGAGGGACCCCTCGTTCCCGCTCCAGACGTGCTTGCTCCGGATGATTGAAGCGGAAAACATGGTTCTTACCCATCACAATCCTATTTCCTGAAAGCAGGAGGAGAGAAATGTGGACTCACTCCCCCACAGCAGCAAACCTACCCTCCTGCCCAAGGCACACAGGACACTAGCCCCAAGTCCCAGAGCCTTGACACCCTCTTTCCCACCAGCCCAAGTCTGAGAGGAGTTGGAACCAAACACTCTCCTTCCTGGTTGGCCCCAGAAACCACTCTTACAGGTGAAGGAACTAGGAGACACTGACAACCTTCTTCCGTTTCTCTAGCGCGGCAAGTTAACCCCAAACCTGAGTCCTTCCCAGTTCTTCCTCCATTTCCTTTTTATTTTAGGGTCTGACCCTAGATTAACTCAGAAAGCTTTCTCTGGGACTACCTATGTACAGCCACACCCTCACACCACGCAATGCTACCTGACTTCAGCACCAGCGGCTCAGTCACCAGCTTCCCATTGACGTACGTCTCAGCTCCTTCACACGGCTCCAACGTGACCACCACTGAGCAAAGGGAGAAAGGAAAGGGAAAGACCAGATCATGCAGGAAGGTGGGTTACAGTCACGGACTCCCGATCTGTATTAACCCCCAAGAAGCACACATGCATGACCAAGTCCTGCCCCCAGTACCTGTCAAGTGGGCCACGGCCCCTCTGGTGGCAGGCAGCACAGAAAGGAAGAGCAGAAGGAGGGTTAGAGACCCAATTACAATTCCCAGAAACCTTTACAATGGCTCCCTACTCACCCACCACCACTGTCCCTAGAAGCAGCTTGGAAAACCAGTTAATTCTTAGAAAGCTTCATCCCTCATGGTCAAATTATCAGCAGGCCCTGCCATATACGCCTTCCAGAAATCCATTCCTCTCATTCCAGTAACTTTATTCCAGTTCTCTAGCAGGTGCCCAGCCCATCTCTCTGTCTCCGTGCTGCTTGCTAACAACTACCTGACTAATCTTATCAAACCACAGCTAACACACGACGGCCTCATAAGACAAAATACAGTCAACCCAACCCAAACATCTATCAAGTTGCTCCTCAGCAAATGACTGAGCCTACCACTTATTGGGGATACAAAAGCACATGCCCTGATATCATGGAGGGACCCCTGTGTCCCAAAGACCCAGATTCTGCAACTTCTTGGTGCTGGAGGACACTGAGCAAGTCACCTAACCGCTCTGAGCCTTTATGAAACAGGAGAGTGATATCTTCCTTCACAAAGTTGTTGAGAGGCTCAAATAAACTATAAAATGATATGCACACCCCCAGAGGTCACTTTCAGCTAACTGACAGACTGGCTCATAAAATAAACAATAGCATCCACGAGTTCTGTGTTCCTTTAAAGAAGAAATACAAATCATCTATATGAGCTGTTCCGCGGGAGAAAGATAAGGTTTTCTGCTCCCGTCAAGATTTACAGCCTCAGAAACCCTGTACAGGGTCACTATGAGTCAGAACTGACTCAACGGCACTTAACAACAACATATGAGACCAAACAGTCAACATTTATCCTAAACAGATGAGAAGGTTTGTGGCAGGGAAGCTGGATTTATACAAGCAGAACCACCTGAACAGAACTATGCCGAATACTGACATAATATGGAAATTGTCACCAATGTCACTGGATAGTTATGAACAGAAATTGTTACACGGAACTGAATTTGCTATGTAAACTTGCACCAAAATTTCAATAAAATATTCATTAACAAAAATGATATGCAAAAGCAACTTTTCATGATTATTTATATTTAAGGTGATAAAGGAGCTCTGGTGGCATAGTGAGTTATGTGTTGGCCTGCTAACCACAAGGTCAGCAGTTCAAATCCACGAGCTACTCCGTGGGAGAAAGATGAGGTTGGTTTCTGCTCCCATAAAGACTGACACCCTCAGAAACCCGATTCAGGGTCGCTGTGAGTTGGCACCAACTTGATGATCCACAATCACTACCACCCAAAGGATAAACACAGAAACCAGAACTAATTGTTACAGAAGGCAGGGTCTGGCTTTTCTAAACTCTTCAGTACTAACGATCCTATGGGGGTACCTAAAGAGCTCAGTATAAGGGTTGTTGTTGTTAAGTGCCATCAAGTCAGGGTTTCCGAGGAGCAGCTGGTGATCTTGAACCATCAACCTTGAGGTTCAAACCAACCTTGCAGTCCAGCGCATTAACCTGCAGCGCCACACCAGGACTCCCAGGGGTGGTGGTGGTGGTGCGCTGTGGAGTTGCTTCCAACTCATAGCAACCTTGCATAGGATTTCCAAGGCTGTAAATCTCTGTCCAGCAGACATGCTGGTAATTTCAAACTCTGACCTTGAAGTTAACAGCCCGACATGTGACCACTACACTACCAGAGCTCCTTAGTCTCGGAGTGGTTGTTGTTGTTAAGTGCCATCGATTCAGTTCTGACCCATAGCGACCCTGCTTGGGGCTTCCAAGGAGCAGCTGGTGAGCTTGAACCGCCAACCTTGCAGTCCAAACTGACTTTGAAGTTCAACGCACTAACCCACAGCGCTACACCAGTATAGGGGTGTTGTTGTTGTTGTTGTTATGTGCCATGGAGTCGGTTCTGACTCACAGCAACCCTGTACAGGGTGTCCGGGAGCAGAAAGCCTCATATTTCTCCCGCAGAAGAGCTGGTAGTTTCGAACTGCTGACCCTGAGGTTCACAGGCCGGTTCGTAACCACTACGCTACCCAGAGCTCCTTGTAGTATAGGGGTAGAGGATGGAAACCATCTTGAAGGGAGATTTCCACGGGCAGAGAGCCACCAACAACAGCAACAGAAGGAGGTTGAAATGGGTTCTCTTCCACCCTTACCTCATTATTTCCTACCACTCATTCACAGCACAAATATATATACTGAGTCCCTGTTAAAGGGAGCTACAGAAAGCTCACGGGAAAATTTCATTTTCCACACTCTTTGAAGTACCCAAGTATACAACAGTTGTTGTTGTTGTTATGTGCCATGGAGTCGGTTCCGACTCATAGCGACCCTGTACAGGGTTTCTGAGGCTGTAAAACTTTACGGGAGCAAAAAACCTCATCTTTCTCCCGCGGAACAGCTGGTAGTTTCAAACTGCTGACCGCAGTTTAAATCGCAGCCCGATTCGTAACCAGAGTCTGTCTTTGGTCAAGTGTAAAACCTGCCACAAGAACCAAAAACTTAACCCCTGCCAAGAAGTCAACTCCAACCCATGGCAAACTCATGTGTGTTGGAGTAGAATTAGAGGATTTTTCTAGTAAAATCCACAGGGTTTTCAAGAACTGATTTTTCACCAGTCGATTGCCAGGACTTTCTTCCAACGTGTTTCTTGATGGACTCAAATCTCAACTTTTTGGTTAGCAGCCCAGTGAGTTTAATTGTTTGCACTACCCAGGTATTCCACAAAAACAAAAACACCAAATTGTCTAAATCTTTATAGCCTCACCTGTGAGGCACAGAATCCTCGGATGCTTTTACTGTGAAGCAACAATTTGCACATGTACGTCTTAACTTCCCAAATACTTGAAAGTGTAGCTTCTTGAGAGTGGGCTCGCTCCAGAGATCTTGGAAGGCTCTGGTCTCCTCCCCAACACATGGCTTCAGGTAACCACAGGACAGAAACTTGGCAGTAACTCGCTGGGCTAAAATGATTCATTCTAAGCAGCTTTCAGCCCCGATGCCAGAAGCAGACACCATGGGCCTGAACCAAATCAGAACAAGTGTGTTAATCTGCTAACCCTGAACCAAACTGAAACCCAACAGGCATGATCATGCACATCCAGCTCCCTTTCCTCAAAGAAGGAACCCCGAGATTTCTGGGCATAACAAGCAGGTCTGTCGACAAAGAGCTTGGTATGTAGCATGCCCTGCCTCCCTGCCATCCCTTACCAGCTCACTTTCATAAAACTCAACTTTATTTGGGCCTAATTGGATCCAAAGCATTCTTTTTTTTTTTTTTTTTAATGACTCGACCAGAACAAAATGACCTCAAAACATGGTCTGAACCACAGGTGGCAGCTATGTGCTGTGGAGTCAATTCCAACTCAGAGTGACCCTGTACAGGATTTCTGAGGCTACAAATCTTTACGGGAACAGAATGCCTCCTCTTTCTCCAGTGGGACTGCTGGTAGTTTCGGACTACTGACCACAAAATTAGCAGCCCGGCTTGTCACCACTATGCTACCAGAGCTCCTTCTGAACCACATAACCACCACCAACCACCAAAGACAGACTGGGAGGTAGGGGAATGTGACAGAGGTGTAGAAATAACTGCCTTATTAAAAGGTCAGACAGACTTCTACCTTCATCACTCTTAACCAGCTGCCGAAAGAAAAGTCAACTCCAACTCACGGTGATCTTACGTGTGTCAGTAGGACTGTTTCACAGGACATTGGTTTTGTTTTGTTTTTGATATTATGTTGTTGAGAATATACACAGCAAAGCACGCACCAATCAATAGTTTATACATGTGCCACTCGGTGACACTGACTACAATTCTTCAAGTTACACAAACATTCTCACCCTCCTTTTCCTGGTTCTTCCTCCTCCATTAACATACACTCACAGGCTCCCCAAGGTTTCTGTCTAATCTTTTGAGTTGCTGTTATCAACTTGATCTCATAAAGATAGATCTGAAAATGGCAAAATGCTCAAGGCAGACACTGCTTACTAGTTAAGCTAAACTATTGGTTAATTTTAATAAAATGTCAGAGAATATTTTTGGTTTAAGATTTTAAAGATTATTTGGAGCCAACTGTTTCAGGGGCTCATCTAGCCCCTTTGATCAAAACATTTTTTAGTGGTAGCCAGGCACCATCCTTCTCTTCGGTTTCACGACAAAGAAGGTAGTTGTTCGAGGAGGCAATTAGCCACACATTGCACTTCCTCCTCCAATTCTTACCTCTCCTTCCTCTACTGCTCCAGGTGAATGAACAGAGACCATCGTGCCTTGAATGGCCACATGCAAGCTTTTAAGACCCCAGGCACTACACAATAAACTAGGAGTTAGAACAGAAGCCTAAACAAATTATTAGGCTAATTAACTGGGCTGTCCCATGAAATCATGACTCTAAAACCTCAAAACCATGGAAACAAATCCCATGAGAGGTTTGGTTGTCCATGCAGCCTTGGTAGCTACTCTTTCTGTTGTTGTGACTGTAAATTTACCTATCACACACCTTTTGTCGATTTCGTTTTTTACAGATGGACAACTTATTGACAGCAATTACAAATTAACAGGTTATGAAACCCTACCTTAATCAATATAATCTTTCCTTCACTGAAAACTAAAATTTAAGTGTTCCATGAGCAATAGCCACTCTGCTTCCACCTTTCTCCTGACCCTGGTCACCATGAGTCAACTGTGATCTGTACGCATTTGCTTCCACAGGATTCTCAGCAGCTGATTTTTAAGAAGGAGATCACCAGACCTATCTTCCACCTTCACCCTTGTTGTTGCTATTAAGTGCCACTGAGTCCAAGGAGCAGCTGGTGGAAATGAACTGCCAACCTTGCAGTTAGCAGTCCAGTACTTATCCTACAGCACCACACCAGGACTCTGGGACACCTTGATCCTTAGGGCTTGTGATTCCTAACAGCTTTTGCTGCTCTTAACATAAACACTTGGAATGTTTGGAACCAGAGATTATATGTGGACCAATGAACTCCCAGAAACCTTTACACTTATAGCTGGATAGAGGGAGGTTTTCTACAGAGATAAAGTCAGACATTCCACTAAAATAAATAAAAATTTTCTTTTAAAACTTGACCAAGGTGCTCCTTCCTGTAGGCTAGGGAAATCAAGGAGAAAAGCAGACATCTCCTCTTCACCAAACTCTCACTTCTGGTGTTTGTATTGCTGGTTTTGCTCCAGGACCCTCATCTCTCTGAGCACTACACTGGTCTGTACCCTCAGAGTGGGCACAGATAGGCAGACCTTTGGTACTCGCCCCCCCACTGCTCACTCATTAGCTAGAAGCCCCTCTGAGGGCAAGGACCCATCACTGCCTGCTGACATGACCACACTCCCCAGTGCCAGGCCAAGGTCTCTTTGTTCAGTGCCAACCATCCCACTTTCAACCCCTCAGCCGTTACCTTCTCCGTCCACCTGAGGGATGCTCCGGAACAGGCAGTGCTGCTCCCGAATGAACTGCCCAGTCAGCTTGATGTCCACATCCACCTGGCCTACCCTGGGGAAGCAACACCAGTGTTTTCTGAGTGCGTCTCAGGCGTTTGCCAAGCCCCACATGGACAAGAGTTTGTCCAACTCAATGAGCCACGTTATCATTGCTCCTATCTCACAGATGAGGCTCAGAGAGGTGAAGCAACTTGCCAAAGGCTCACAGCTGGGCAGTGAGTCTGCCGAGTTCTAAAGCCCATGTTCCTAAGTCATGCAACAAAGGAGGAAAGTTTGGAGCTTACAGGTCACTCACTGAAGGAAACCTGGGGGAGGGGCTCCCATTCATCCTTAGGGCTCATCACCGTACATGCTCACTCCCTAGCCTCAATGACACCAAGGACAGCAGGAAGTATTTTGGGCACCCTCACCCCTCTAAGTACAGGGGGTGACCTCAGAGGCACTGAGCTCAGCAGTTCCTTAGCACCAGCCCTGGTGAAGCTGCCTTCCCTGGGGTGCCACAGTGGACACTGCCCTTCAACAACATGGCGCTGGGGCCATGTCTCCTTTCTTCCTTCCCCAGGGAGAGTTCCACAGAGGGAAGCCAAGTTAACAGTGTTAGGGGCTAGGAATGACGTTTCCCACCAATCACTCTGTTTCAAGAGCTGTCTCACTCTAACCAAAATGAGCACGTAGAGGCAGAATGGCCACTGGATAGACAGGCTCAGCAACCTCCCAGGAAGCCCAGAGAATAGGCAGGGCTATGGGACGACTTTCCGGAGATCTATGGTAGCTCCAAAGAGGTCATCAGGAAAGGGAGTCACCACTGTGGCTGTTGCTCTGCAACCCAATTCTGAAGGGAGAGGCTGCCCTACAGGACACTGTACAAGCAAATGCTACCTGGTCACGCCATCTTTGATGTGGTAAAGCAGGCATTCTGACATCAGAGGGTCTTCATTCAGGTTCACTAGGTGAGGAGTCTGAAGGGAGAGACAGGATGGTTAGGGGAAGGATGATGAGAGCCAGCCAGGGGGTTCCACCATGAGGAAGGGAGGGAAGGAGCTTCTGTCGACCTCCCTCCTGATGCTAGCACTGCTACCAAAGGAGAAGCTTCCCCCCCTTCACTACTGCCAGTATGTCCTCTGCCCTGACAAACCTGGGGAGTGGCTTTGGTTCCCATCTCTCACTGATACCCGTTTCCTTTGCTGACCAATCACCATGGCCTGACCCATGCTCTTCTCACATACAACAAAACCCCCACGGCCAGTGAGTAGAGTCTGACCCAAAGCAACTCATTACAGGGCTTATAAACCTATAGATCTTTATAGTAGCAGACAGCTTCATCTTTCTCCTGTGGAGTGCCTGGTGAGTTTGAACTGCCAACCTTATAGTTAGCAGTCCACTGCTTAACCCACAGTACCACCAAAGCTCCTTTCCCATTTAGCCGGGCCCACAGAAATCACCCATTCCCAAGTCAGCAACCTTTCCTGAGGTAGTTTCTGTCAAAAGCACCTGAATCCCACAGTCCCCAGGACTGGTAACCTTGGAACCCACCTGCACCCTTCCTCTTCTCTCCCTACATCTCCTCTGCCCCTAGGTCCCCTCATTTCTTCCCACCAAGAGAGATCTTGCTGGAGACTAAAACAGGAGACTGTACTTCCCACCTTACACAGCAGCCTGCATTTCTTACCAGCAGGTATGGCTGTTACAATGTAAAAATGCAAAGTATCACTTCAATTGAGAAGCCAACCAACCTGTGTCTCATCCCCAAGTCTCCTTCACCTGTGCCCAAATCATTGAGGCAGCTGCCTGGAGCTGTCCCCACCAAGTCCACCTGCCCAAACCCATCCCTCTCACCTGACTGACCACCATGCTGCTCCACTTTCAACACTCAGCTTGTTCCCTGGCTCCTCTGTTTCTCTTTGTAAGCATGCCACTCTGAGCAGCACATAAGCCTTGCGCCTGCTACAGCCCCCTCAAGCCACTGGCTGTCACATCTGCTGCTGCCTCAGCCCACACCTGTCCAGAGACTTCAGTGATGCCTTTCTCCTGACACCTCCACGGTCCCCCAGCTTCTGGCTCACACCAGACCATGGCATTTCATTGCTTTTTGACTGGCACCCATGCACACCTGACTAGAGCCCTGTTTTGTATCCTGGTCTCCCAATCCCCGCATGACAGGACCAGCCCCTTTCCTCATCCCTCTCTCCTCCTCTATGTTCCCACTCCTCCCAGAAGCAGGACCCCTGGATCCCTGTCCATGGTCCTCTGCCTAAAACAGCTTACCTCTCACCCCACCCCTACCCCACTGAAGTCAAAATAATTTACTTCAGTCTGTCTCAAATGCCACTTCCTCCATGAAGCTTTCCTAAGCCTTCCAACCACACACAAGATCCCCTGCCTCCGTCCTACAAAGATTTACTGTGGGCTTTCTATGTGTAAGACCCCGGTGAGACGCTGGGCAGGACACAGAGTGGAGTCAAATCGTGGTGCTGGTGTCCCATCAGTAAGGAAAGCAGAACCAACCTGAGGAGATAAGAGTTGGCATGGAAACACTGACAGGCGAGAGGCTGCGGACTCATAAAAGCCTTTTTGAGCTCTTCGTTCTCTCACACAGCTGATTGGTTCACTCACTCATTTGCTCCCAGAGAATGGAGAGTTACCATATTCTGGGAAGGGTTCCCATGCAAAGATGCACAAAGTGAAGAACTAGGGGAGCTCTGGTAGCGTAGTGGTTACGAGTTGGGCTGCTTATAACCTAAGGGTAAGCAGTTCGAAACTAGCAGCTGTTCCGCAGGAGAAAGATGAGGCTTTCTGCTCCAGTAAAGATTTACAGCCTCGGAAACCCTGTACAGGGTCGCTATGAGTCAGAACCGACTCCACGGCACATAACCACCACCACCATGGGAGCTCAGGAAGGATCAGACCTTTGTGGAAAAGACAGTACTGCAGATAAGGAAAATGTGGACATGCCAAAGAGCAAGCCAGATGGGAGGAAGAGGTTCAACACAGGACAGATATGGAAGCAGGAGAGCAGAGGCTGTACAGTGAAAACAGCCAGTAACAGACCCCATATGTCCTTTAGTCCCCTTTCCCAGACAAAGAACTCCAGGTGACACCTGGAGAATGCCATGTGCATCCATGTGACTGCCCCCAACACTGGCACCCTAACATCTCTCCTCCTCCCAAGGGATTCTCAGGCCTCCCCCTCCCCCTACTGCAGCATCAGGCCTGCTCTGGAAATGGCAATACTGGTGGACTCTGGGAGCTGAAAGGGATCTGTCCCTGGGGAGAGGAGACATGATTTAGGGCAGTGTTTTTCAATCTTTGCTTGGCCCCAAAACTCTTTGTTCGCTTGAAACCTTACCTAGAAGCCCAGTACATAGAGCAGATAAGCATAGTACCGCACAGGTGGAGGCTGGGAGCAGGATCCAGAGTTTGCTCCTGCCTCTCTCTAAGCCCTATGTAGGAAGCTTCCAAGTTAGGTTTGAAAATCTGATTGAAGGGTTCTTAAACCAAGTGCTACTCTGAGCTCTAGCCCAAGCCTTATCCCTAACACTAATCCTAGTCCTAACCATAACCTGATGTTGTTGTTAGGTGTCATCGAGTCGGTACCGACCCATAGCGACCTTAGGCACAGCATAACCTAGCACTACACAAAACCTTAGGCATGGTCTAGACCTAGTTATAGTCCTAAGCCTAACTCTGTACTCCTATCTACCCCCAACTCCTTCACAAAATAAAATTTTAAGAAGAAAGAAAAAAAAAAATCCTTAGGCCTGGTGGAGGGATCCCAGCAAGAGAGGGCTTTCCTTAGGGTCTTTGCTCTAAGACAAACTGTAGTTTTTCCTCTAGGGCTTAAATCCCCATACAACTATTTCTGGGTTGAATCCACTCTCACCAAACCTGTTTCCCATACAAGTCTAACACTTCTCCCTTTTGAAATACACATACCTTTTAAACTATTAGAATCGTGTTCATCCACACCACCTTAAGAAAAATACAAGACGAAACTACACTTGTTGTAAAGCACCATCAAGTTGGTTCCAACTCACAGTGATCCTGTATAGGGTTTCCTAGGCCTTAAATCTTCACAGGAACAGAAAGCCTCCTCTTTCTCCCCTGGCGGGAGAAAGTTGAGGCAGGCTCAAACTGCAGACCTTGTGGGTCCCAGTTCAGTGCTTTTCGTATGGAGCCATCTTGCTCCCCAAAATGACACCAGAACATCTTTTTCACCAGTAAGATTGCAGAGGTGTTGATGAAAGTGAGGGTATGTTGCTTTGGGGAATTCAAATTGTAGTTGTTGTTATGTGCCGTGGAGTCAGTTCTGACTCATAGTGACCCTGTACAGGGTTTCCAAGGCTGTAAATCTTTACAGTAGCAGAAAGCCTCATCTTTCTCCCGTGCAACAGCTGGTAGTTTTGAACTGTTGACCTTAAGGTTCGCAGACCGATTCGTAACCACTACGCTACCAGAGTTCCTAAAGATCTGTCAGTAGGAACTGATTAAATAAATTATCCTGCATTTATACAATAGATTATTCAACACTGTGAAAAAGAATGAGACAACTGTTCGAAAAAACTGATACAGTGTTATATGTAAAAAGGGAAAAACTAAGATCTGCCATCACTACTCTAAAGGGAAGATGCTGTCTATGCATCTGTGTGTAGACTTAAGAGAAGCCTCTGAGAGTCTGGATGGGACTGGCCTGTTTTGCCGGGTCTTATAAGTAAGTGTTCCACCTTCGACAGAGTGCAGTCTTACCATCTTTCTATTGTTCATTTGGATGGTGATGGTTGTGTGCCCTGGAGTTGGTTCTGACTCACAGCGACCTCGTATAGGATTTCCAAGGCTGTAAATCTTTAAGGGATCAGAAAGCTTCATATTTCTCCCATGGAATGGCTGGTAGATTTGAAATGCTGACCTTGGGGTTAGCAATCCAACTCATAATCCACTATGCTACCAAGACTCCTTTTGTTTTTGTGTTTTTTTAGTTCTTCCAACACAAATTAATTTATTCTTCTGGCAGTCCATGATACTTTCTTTCTTTTTCTTTTTTTTTTTTTTTATTAAATGTTTTTATTTTGGATTGAGTGAAAGTTTACAGGGCACATCATCAGCTTCACATTCAATCATTCATATAGCTTGTTTCATTACATTGATTATTATCCCCTCCATATATCATCAGTTAACAGTGTTTCTCCCTATCCCCTTTAGCTTTTTTTTTTTTTTTTTGGTGTGTGGGGGGGGAGGAAGACTCCTTTTGTTTTAATGGAAAATATTTGAGTCTTTCTTCTCTGACAGGTTTCTCTGACAGGTCACCACAGGTTCCAGCTTTCACAAGTTTTACTGATGAGTACATGTCACATGGGAGCACAGTGGCTCCATACAACAAGCAATGGACTGCCAATCACTAGGTCCATGGTTCGAGCCCACCAGCTGATCTACAGGAGAAGAATGAGGCTTTCTGCTCCTGTAAAAATTTACAAGCCTCAGAAGCCTCTATACATGGTCACTATGGGTTGAAATCAACTCGAAGGCACTTAACAACGTACAACACATGCCTGTGTGTGACTCAACTCTACAGAAGCACACATCAGGCACAGAGCATAGAGGCTGCCTCTAGGAGGGAAGCCCGGGGTGGGAAGGAAGGAGACTCACTTTCCACAGTACATATGTACACACCTCCTAGAACCACTCGGATGTTCTCTCTGGTGTGCATTATCTTTTCAAAAAGAATCATTAAAAACACAACAGACATTCCACCCTTTGGTGGCATTTAGCAGGTGACATCTCCAGGGAAGAAGCTCCCACACCAGTTTCCCAGTCCCTGTGCCTTCTCTTCACCCCTGTAACTGTGGTGGAAATGCATCTGGTGCCAGGCACCTCCAGGAGCTTGAAGACGCATGGAGAGTCTTTGGAGGCAACTCTTCTCCCCTAGATCCAGCTAGGTACCAAGAAGGTGTGACTTTCTCAAAAGAACCCCAAATCCTGGGGCCCAGCCTCAGATCAGGTCCCTTGCACTTGGCCTGCCTTTCTTTACCACCCACCCACACACTCTTACACTTCTGCTCTGGAAAGCAAGCCCCTCTCCTCTTTTCAAATCCCTGCTTGTTCAGTCACCCAGATGGCCCTAACCTACCAAACCAGACAACCGGGTACTTCTGCCAGGCAGCCCCGTGATACTGTCTGCACCAGAGCACAGTAAATCTGAAGGCCTGTTCCGACTCTGCTTCGCCCCCTGGAGCAGACAGGCTTGGCTGGTTTCCCTGTGAGACTGGAAGTTCCTGCTCTGCTGAGAGTGGCCTCCGGCTCACCCACTCATTGGTATGCACCGCTACAGCTGTGCTGGCTGTCCACAGCCTGCATCCGTTCTGACTGGTCGGCCCCTGGGCCAGGCTGGCCATTAAGTATTTTGAATGTCATTCCTGCTTCCAACTGAGCCGAGTCACTCCTGCCCTGCTTCCTTCCTTCCTCTCAGCCAAGATTGACTACGCGTGTGCTACATGGCAGGCAGGCGCCTGGCGCTGGTGCACCCCACCTGGTCCTTGAGGACTGCCGCGCACTGTGTTTGCTTAGTGTGGTGATCTCCCTGCTCCTCTCAACCCCCTCAGAGCCCACTCACTCATCAGTCAGGCTTCACTTTTCATATCAGCTTCTCCAGGAGATCCCTTGCTGCGTATCTGCAGACCATGCTGCTGCTTCCATCTTGAAAGCCCTCACTGTATTCACACACAGCGACTTACAGTTTAGTGCTTACTCCTCCTCCTCTACTATTCCCTTTATAATCTTGTTTTCCTGAGTTATTCTTTTAAAAATGTAATTTTTAGGTTTGTTTATTTTCTTTTTGAGTAATACATGACATGGTACAAAGTCCCAATGATACAAAAGACTCTATCATCATCAATATATCTCTTTCCCATACCTGGGTGGTACAAAGATTAACATGCTCAGTTGCTAACTAGAGGTTGGAGGTTCAAGTCTACCCACAGGTGTCTTGGAAGAAAGGCCAGGCAATCTAAAAAGCCACCCACTGGGAACATTTATGAAGCACAGTCCTACTTGGATACACAGGGTCACCATGAGTTGGACCCCACTCAATGGCAACTGGGTAACTGGATCCAATCTCTCTCTAAAGATAACCACTAACTTACGTATCCTTCCAGAGAACAATTCCATACACAAACGAACATGTATACATGTGGGAGTTTATGATTGTAAAAATCTATCCTAAGCTCTTGAAAGTCCCTTAGAGGCAGGGCTCCTGCATCGTGGGTTCCCTAGTGTCCCTGATCCTGGTCCTTCCCATGCACTCACTCTCTGGATGACTCGGATGGGTGGAGGGAGCAGGCAGGGAGGGGTGGTTGGATAAAACAGAGAGGAGGCAGCAGAGGAGGAATCAGAGATGATGCAGACACAATTCAGAGACCGCAAGGGGGAGACCAGGGTTAGAACTCACCAACCTGCCACCTCTCAACCCTCGTCTCTAAGCATACAGAGCTTTTCCTCCTTACCAGACCCCTCACTCACCTTCTTTGGAGAGAAGACGCCCACGGTTCCCCCGTCCTCCCGCACAGCCACCCCCATCTCAGCCAGCAAGGCTTCTCTGTGAGCAAAGGAGAAAAAAATGTTGGTCTTATCATGGTGACTACTGGCCTCCTTCCCTTGGGAAGGATTTGACTCTCCCTCCCCTCTTCCCTCCTCATAGGCCTCACCTGTCAGCCTAACCCATCATACCTCTCCATCCTCAGTGCTTCAGTCTTGCGGAGTTTTTCCTCCCAGGTCTCATTCAGCTCGGCTATAATCTTCTCTGTCTCCTGGGGACACAAGGACCGGCAGGATCAGGACAATCTGGGACAAGCATCTACCATGGGGGCCAAACTGGGATTCCTTCTTCCACTGCAACCCGGGGCTTTGGAAAGCTAAACTTCCAGTGTCCCCCAGGTCCTATGCCCTTGCCAATTCCAATTTCCCACCTGTAGCCTCTCCATGGCCTCCTCAGGCCCTATCTGGGGCTCAGCACTGGGGGAGAACGATGGCTCCAGCTCCCCGTTGTGTGCTGGGGGAGATGAGGGTGAAGCTGGGGCAGGGGGAGTAGATACAATTGGCATAGCACCTCCGGGACTCTCCTCTTCCACTTTCAGGCCTGGGAGGAGGTAAAAGAGCAAGAGTAAAGTAAGCTGGAGCTGATCCAAGACACAGGGAGGACCACTGTGATAGTTAAGGGTTTGTGTTAACTTGGCTGGGCCAGGATTCTCAGTGGTTTAACAGTTAAGATGTAGTTGTCACCTCCATGAAGAGATCTAATATGTTACAATCTACTCCATGAGATAATCTGATGCAAGTATCTGATGTGTTGTTGTAAATGCTCATTTCTTGGACATGAATGAGGTCAGATGCAATCCTCATGAATAGGATGTATCTTGAGCCAATCTCTTTTGAGATATAAAAGGTGAGAGAAGTGAACAAGGAAAGAGGGACCAAGAAAGAAGAGTCAAGAGGAGAGGGCATCCTTCACAGTGCAGGACCTGGAGTCCCTGCACTGTGAAGCTCCTAAATCCAGAGGAAGATTGATGCCAAGACCCATGCAGAACTGCAAGGAATGCTGGGTCTATGGATGCTCAAAGGAGACAGGGACCTTTCTCCAGAACCAGTGTTCTGAGTTTGGACTTGAAGTCTCCTAAATTGTGGGAGAATACATTTCTACTTTTCAAAAGCCATCCACTTGTATTTTTGTTCTGGCAACTAATGAACTCACACATCCAGTATGGGCAGGATCCCAAAAGACATCTACCATCAGGCAAGCAGTCATCCTCCTACTGTTGCTGTTTTGGACCACCGAGTCAATTCTGACTCACAGCGACCCTACAGGACAGAGCAGAACTGCCCCATAGTTTCTTAGGCTGTAACTTTATAAAAGCAGATTGTAACAACTGACCTTTCAGTTACTAGCTGAATGCGTACCCACTGCGCGACCAGGGTTCCTTCCTCTTACTGTTGTTATTGTTGTTAGATGCCGAAGAGTAGGTTCCAACTCACAGTGACAAGAGAACAAAACGCTGCCCAGTCCTGCGCCATCCTAACAATCACTGTTGTGTCTGAGCCCACTGCTGCGGCCAGTGTTACTCCATCTTCTTGAGGGTCTTCCTCTTTATTGCTGACTCTCTTCTTTAACAAGCATGATGTTCCTTCTCCAGGGATGACCCCGCCTGATGACATGTCCCAAGTACATGAGCCAAAATCTCACCATCCTCAGTTATAAGAAACATTCTGGAGGTTACTTCTTCCCAGACAGAGTTGTTTGTTCTGCTGGCAGTCCATGGTACAGTCAATATTCTTCCCCAACATCAGAATTAAAATGCGCCAGGTCTTCACTGGTATCCTTATTCACTGTCCAGCTTTTGCACGCATATGAGGTGATTGAAAATACCATGGCTTAATCCTTAAAGTGACAACTTTGCTTTTAGCACTTTGAAGAGATAGTTTACAACAGATTTGCCCAATAAAACAAGTCGTGTGATTTCTTGGCTACTGCTTCCAAGAGTGTTTATTGTAGATCAAAGTAAAATGAAATCCTTGACAACTTCAATATTTTCTTCACTTTTTAAAATGCTTATTATTGGTCCAGTTGTGAAGATTTTTGTTTGATGTTGAGGTGTAATCCATACTGAAGTCTATAGTCTTTAATCTTCATCAAAATTAAGTGCTCCAAATCCTCTTCCCTTTCAGCAAGCAAGATTGTGTCACGGGTTGTTAATGAGTCTTCAACCAATCCCGATGCTGCATTCTTCTTCATATAGTCACTCTTGGATTATCTGCTCAGCATGCAGATTGAGTAATATGAAAGGATACAACCCTGACACAAAAAATGGACATCCAGTCTCTTTCTGTAATTCCTCCAAGGATATGTCATTGTTGTTAAGTGCCATCGAGTCAGTTCCGACCCATAGTGACCCTGGATAGGGTTTCCAAAGAGCAGCTGGCGAGCTTGAACCGCCAACCTTGCAGTTCAAATGGCTTTGCAGTCTGGCACATTAACCCACAGCGCCACACCAGACTCTAAGGATATAGAGCTCATTTGTTAACAAGCCAGTTCTTTCCATTGAGTTGAAATCTGCCTCATGTTTCTACTTCTGCCCACCTGGGATTAAAGAATTTAAGCTGCTTTTTTTCTCTGCATGACAATACTTAAAAATGTTGGAAAGTATGTATCACATCTATCTTACCCTTCTTGTGCCAAGAACTGATACCCTATTTCCTATCCTGCTCCACACATGGTTCCAAGCCCCACATCACCCTAACTGCCCTCAACAGGATAGACCTTAAGACTGAATGAAGAGTCCAAGCTGGATCGAGCCAATATTGCTCATACGTCTTCTCATATGCAAGGGAAGCTGTATTAGTGGGGCTGAGCCGTACAGTTTAAAACTATTCTCCTGTCAACTTTTGCTATGCTCTTTATCAATGAAAATCCTGACATTTCTACAAAAACTCTACCAAGGTTATTATTTATGGGTTAAAAAATTATTTAACCCTGGGACCATCAAGAGAAAAAGAGCAGAGAGTGGGATCCTACTTAGAGAAGCAGTGACACCAGAGATGGAGACAGAGACGATGACAGAGAGAGATGGAACAGCTGGGGACTTTAGACCCGGAGAGGGAGAGGGGCTGTGTGCTGATGACCGACTGGATGGCAGGCTTGGAAGGTATACCCTTTGGTTGGTTGATAATGCATGGAGGGTACTGTAACCATGGCAATGAAACGATATACTGTAGGATGAATGTAAAGCTAATGTTCTCCCATGTAAACTATCACATAATTTACAATAAAACATTTTAAAAAAATGAATTTCCAAAACAAAAAATTATTTAACCATTTAGTTTTTGGACCCATAAGTGTATAACTTGACGTGTACTCCTGTGATTTTATTAGTTCCAGGAGCCTGTCAAGGTTTCTCTGAATCCTGACTCTCCTTGGAGACTCAGTCTCTCCCAGCTTTGTAACATCTAAAAGCTCAAGAAGTCCCATCTCGAGGGCTGTATCCATGGCACTGAGTATGAAGGGCTTTGTGGATGGTGGTCCCTCCCTGGCCTCAGGACTGGGCAAAGATCAGTGAGGCACTACTGAATGAGACCTCTCTCCCAGAATCCCTACCTCCCAGGGCGGAGGCTGACAGGCCCTGAGCCATCAGTAGTTCCCGAAGCCGGGCCACCTCCTCCTGCAGCTCTCGGATCAGCCTGGCATTCGGGTCCTCGTTAATGATGGCGTTGCATCGGATTTGCTTGGTGCGGTCGGCATACCTGGGATAAGGAGGGAGGGACAGGGGAACGCTTGGTCTGTGTGACCCCTTTCCCTCTCTCCCAGGTCTCAGGATATTGGGACAGGGCTGGGCTCATGCATAGGGTCCTGGGTAACCAGTGTCTGAGTCCACAGCAAGTTTCGCATGCTGTCCCACCTGAGAGTGCTAAGAGTCTCCTCATAGTTGATATCGGCAGGGCTCAAGGCCGCAATCATTGCTGTCCGGGAGTTCCCACCTATGAAAGGAGAGGAGAGAAAGGCTTTAGCACAGTTAGTTCCTAAGAAAAATCTGACAGGTGCATGGGATCAAGTGAGCCTCAATACCCAAGAAGAGGTCTGGTTTTGTAGCAAGGAGGGGAGTGATTAACTTTGCAGTCTAGGAGTGGACGTCCCTGGGACCATCAAGGGAGAAAAGCGGAGAGCGGGACCCTACCCAGAGAACCAGTGAAACCAAAGATGGAGGCAGAGACGATGACGCGATGACGTGGAGAGATGGAACAGCTGGGGACTTTAGACACAGAGAGGGAGAGGGGGCTGTGTGCTGATGACCAGGGGGAAGACTTGCAGGATATACCCTTTGGTTGGTTGATAATGCATGGAAGGGATTGTAACCATGGCAATGAACGATATACAGTAGGATGAATGTAAAACTAATGTTCTCTCATATAAACCTATCATGTAATTCACAATAAAACATTAAAAAAAAAAAGAGGTCTGACATGGTCTCTGTCTGAGGTAGGGTGAAGCTAACCATGAAACCCGGTGGTCAGAGGAGAGAGAATGATATCAGGGAGATAGTAGAGATCAGAGGGGCAGTCACCAGTGGGAAAGAGCTTAAGTCAGCAGTAGGAGTGGGTGAGAGTAGGTCATGGGTGGCCAGGTCAATGAGACCCTTAACTTGGCAGAGGGGCTGTGGCCTCAATCTCAGCACGAATCTTTCAAGGTTGTTCTCTGGGTCAGTAGGAAAGTGAGACATATGTAGGACAGTGGTCAGTGGATTCCACAGTGACAAAGGGATTTGTCAGATGAACCAAAGGAGTTAGTGGGCTGGTAGCAGGGTTGGAGAAGCCCCTCACCCAGATTCTCTTTGAGCAGCCAGGTGAGCACAGAGTCCCGGTAAGGGATAAAGTCCGACTTCCGTTTCTTTGATTGCTAGAGATGGAAAAGGCATGGGGATGAGAGTGGGCCATCCCCTCTGCCACCTTCCTAGAGCCCCTTTCTCTCCGAACCCCCAGGCTTTACCATGTCCGCAAGGGCAGAGATCACCTTCCCTAGAGTTGTCAGGGACTTGTTGATGTTGGCGCCTTCCTGGAATGGAATGAGGAACATGAGAAATGAGACCTTCCTCTCCCCACTGAATCCACCTCCCCAGCCAGAGACCCCTGCACACCGTCCCACCACTGCCCCCTTCACACCTCCTAAGCCCCCTTACCTTTAGGCGCATGCCCCGAGCCCCTGAGGAGTCAGCCCGCTCACTACCAGCCAGGTCCACCAAACTGATCTTACTAACCTGAGAGTCAGAAGAAAAGAGGCAGGAGGTGACTGGGCTCAGGGGAGATAGACGGGCATGGAAATCAGCGGTGTGACTATTCAGCAGGAATTTGGGTAATTGACAAGGGAGAAAAGGTGAGGAGGGTGAGGGAAAGAGGAAGGAGGAAAACAAGATCTGAAGGTAAAAGTGAGGAGTTGGCTACTCACTCATTTGTTCACTTAGTCAGTTACAAACTTACATGCCCACTATGTGTCAGAATAATGGACACAGTGGGACTCAAGCCCTGCATGGGGAAGTCTTGTAAGAGAAAGAAACCAAGAAACAAGAGATTATAGCACACAGCTCTGCTGGCAGGACAGAGAACTGTGGAAGCCCAGAGGAAGTACCCAACCCAGCTCTTTCCATCACATCATTGTCCATACTGACAGGTCAGGGACAGGCTCCCACCTTCTCCGAGTCCAGCCCAGTAAGCTGGTCGTGGCAGCGCTGCGTAAAGACAATAGTGAAGACAGCATGGGAACGGCTGCTGGTCTCATTCATGTTGGTGGCAGCTACAGTCCTGGGGAAGAGCGGGAAGGGTCAGTGGGGTCCTGCCTCTCCCCTTCCAACCCTGGCCCCCTCCCCATCCCCAGCCTGCCTCACCGCGCCTTATTGCCACAATCCATGAGGTCGGCAATATCTGCGTAGGAGGTCACAGCCAATTTAGACAGGTCCTGCACATAGGGGCCTAGGATGGGGTGCTCCCGGACCCGCAGAGAGCCCCTACTCTTGGGGTTCAAGAGGTCTCGTACCCGTTCACAATAGATCTCCATATAGCTCACCTGAAAGAGAAGCAAACAAGAAGTAACCAAGCTGCAACACTAACAAGAGCACTGCCTCTAGACTCCACTAGACAGGATCCAGAAAATGCAGCTACCATGAATTTGATTCTCCTACCAAACAACCCTAGGAGGTGACTTGATAATTATCTCCATTTCACAGATAAACACACTCAGGCACTGAGAGATTAAATCACTTGCTCAGAGTCACAGTTAGTAACTGGCAGAGCCAGAACTGGATCCCAGGCTGTCTGACTCCAGTGACTGCCCTCAGTCCTACTCATTCAAGTCTAATGCCTCCCTGCCAGAGAAACCCCACCTCCCACCCGCACTGAGACCTGGACTTACCTCCACAGAATAGGACAGCTCAGCACTCTGATTCTTATTAACACGGGAGAAGAGGTCCTCACAGAGCTGAGGGAACACAGAGACAAATCACTATACCTCCTGTTCGTGACATACTTACATTACAGTGTTCAGTACTGGCAAGTCCTGTCCCACGGGACCCTAATTAACCCTTACCCAAACCTTCGAGAAAGGGGTCACTGCCATTTTACAGATGGGAAGACTGAAGCTCAGAGGTTCACACTTGCCCGGGGACACAGGGATAACATTCAGGAAGTCAGGATGCAAAACCCAGACATCCTGACTTCAAAGCCTGAGTGAGAGCCAGGCCCTATGCTGCACAGCCAATGAGAAATCAGGGTCAACTCTCAGTTATCCTGGTGTGGTGCTGTAAGATAAGCACTGGACTACCAACTGCAAAGTTGGCTGTCTAAACCCATCATCCTTTCCTAGGAAACCCTATATAGAAGCGCTATGGATCAGAACCGACTCCACAGCACTTAAAAATAACTCAGTTATCCACAACTGGCTTTTTCTACAGTCAACACCTTGATGACAGTACACAAGTCTGTGGGGAAACTGAGCCCAGCAATAACTATAAAGAAAGCCCAAACAGTAAGCAGTGGAAAATCCAGGGTTATAGTATAACACTCTCTGACTTCAACATCTTGGCTCTTTTCACTAGGTGTCCAGGTAGAACCCTGTCACATCCCCTATCTCTAACAGCCTCAGACAGCCAACTCGATGCTCTATAATCCTTAGGTCCTGTCCTGGCTCCTAGAGAGCAGCTGCCAATGCTCCTACCCTGGCTGCCCTGCCACGTCCCAGGTGTGTGTGTACCTGGGGCACGATGCCCTGCTGCCCAGGCTCCTGCCTTCCCATCATGGTGTAGGATTTCCCAGCCCCGGTCTGCCCATAAGCAAAGATGCACACATTGTAGCCTTCAAAGGCATGGAGCAGCATCTCTTCACCGATGTCTCGATACACCTGTTGCTGAGATGCAAACTGGGGGTCGTCGGCCTGGGTGGAAGGGGGACACAGAAAGATATCAAAGAGCCCTGGAGAGCTGTGTCCTTAAGTTTCTAGCTTCTAAGAGTCCTGCCCCCATCATCACTGACTGCCCAAAGGTCCTGCCCAACCCCTACCAACATGTCCTAATCATCTGAGAAAAGCCTCCCAACCAACCCCCTGGAGGCCAATTTCTCTCAGCAATCCCCTCTCCCCAGAACCCAAATCTCTGGTCCCTCAGAGTTTAGCTCCTTCCCCAACCCAGTGGCCTCACCGAGGTGTGTGACCAATAGGAGTAATCGAAGGTGAAGCTTTTGGGGGCATCCTTGCTCTGTTTGGGATTGACGATGGCTGTGAGGGCAGAAGAAAGCAAAGAGAGGAAGACGAAGTTCAGGTACTCCCAACCTCTGCCCACACCCCAAAAGGCCCTAGTATCCAGGTGGCCCAATCCCCAACCCTGTTCATCTCTCCCCTTTAATATTCCCCACCCCCTCTAGTCCCTAAAGCTAATTTTGGCTTCCTAGGACCCGCCCCCAGTGAGCAGTCTCTCTGGATTGGGCAATGGAGGGCTCCAGGCCAACAGTTCCCCTCCCAGGGGCACAGAAAGGCCAAATTGCCCCAGCACCACCCTTACAACTAGCACCTGCTCTGTGCCCAGCAGAGCCCTGCCCAAGCTTCAGCCTGGTGGGACTGGCCTGTGTGGGGGACCCAGTCAGGCCCTGGGACTCACTTACAGGTGGTGTTGCCCTGCATGCTGACCACACACTTAGCATCATGGCTGGTTTCACGGGCGTTGAAGGGCCGAACCCTCACTGCCACTTTCACTGAGGCGCCAGCCATGGCTCCAGATACTGCCACCCTCCTCAGCTGGAGGACAGAGAAGGAAGGGGTGATTAGAGCCCCTTGGGGGTCCCAGACATTGCCTCCTAACTTCTCATAACAACTAGGCTCACCACCATCCTACCCCAGCTACCCAGCCTTTCAAAGACCCAGTTCCCATTCCCCTGGCCTTGTTCCCAAATATCACTCTCCTGAGGAAATCCCAGAGATGTTCCTGCTTTTCTCCCCAACCATATCCCAGCTGACAGAGACCTGGGCCATCACCCCAGAGTTACCTGGCGTCCTGGCCCCAGATCAGGGGGTCTGTATCAGTTCTGGCTGCTACCCGCCCTTGTAGGGGGCGCCCCATCCTACGTTTGGGGCCTGGCCACTCCAGCTGGAGCTGTGGGGGAAGCCCTGGTTGTGGGGTAAGAGTTGTTAGAAGGCACCTGTGATTTCAGAGGTCTAACAGGTGTGAGGGACCATTAGGAAATGTTAAGGATGGCTGCCCCTCTGAAGTGGCCGAATGCAATGTGAATCCAAGGGCAGACACGGTGATATTTTTATTCCTCGTCACTCACAAGTGTACTGAACGTTCAGATAGAGAAGAGAGAGAGGCTGGACAGAGGGCAATTCAGAGACAGGGACACCATGGTCAGAGACAATGAGGGTGGTGGGAATGGGGCAGAAAGTCACATACACCAATAAAATGACAGACATGAGACAGAAGACAAGACTGAGGTCATGCTCTGAAAAACCAAAACAAGAAAAGGAAAGGAGGAAGAGATACAAAGGATCTCAAACAGCGATGTTAAACAGGCAGGAAGGGAGCTGAGGCAAAAGCTCAAAACAGGAGCCCAGGAGAGAGATGAAGGAAAAAACCTCAAACACAGAATCTGCTCTAAATTCCCCCACAGGACCAGCAAAGGAGAAAGGAGAAACCAGTTCCTACCTAGAGCCCACACATCTCCAAACACAAGGGAGGGAAAACTAAGGGGCAAAGTCCAAGGGCTGGAAATGTGGCCCAGGACTGGGATCCACAGGGCCTGCTCCTGGGCCCCAAACCCCTTGCCCAGCCTCCAGCACTTCCTCCCCAGGATCTAGGACAATGGGTAGGGTAGGGTGGGGTCATCCTGTATCCATCCCTACCAAACCCCAGGGCTCCAGTTGGGAACCTCAGAATACCTGCGGCTTTAGGGAGAGGGGGCTCTAGAGGGCTCCCAGGAAGGGGAGAGAAGGGAAAGAAAGCCGACAGTCCCAGCCACCCCCCTCCACCCACCACCCACGCCGCCTAGGGCTAGTGCTGTGGCGTCTGCTGCCTTGGGGAAGGTGCCAGCCTGAAGCCCAGGAATGTGGGTGATCCGGGTGCCCACACCCTGGGAGGAGAGGCTGAGCAGCCCACGCCCACGGATAGAAGGGTGGAGAATGGTGAAGAGGGTTCAGGGATGTCCAGGATCCCTTCCACATCCCCAAAGGACCCCAACCCCTGTCATGCTGGGCCTCACCTCACCAGCCTTCCTGAGCAGGACATGGGAGGGGTGCAGGGGATGGTCAGTCCCAGGGCAGGAAGGGAGCAGCAGAGGCTGCCTCAGGAAGTACAACCCTGACCCCAGACCCATGGAAGGGGCGCTGGTGGGGACAAACAATGCTAGTGCCATTGCAGGATGATGGGGCAGGGTATAGGGTGGCACGACCAGGGACAGCGAAGTAAAGGAACAGAGAGTAGACACAGGTCGGCAGCGGGACACCGGGAGGCGCCCGCAGCCGGGATCAGGCCCGCCGACCCGAAAGAGAGTCTCTGGCCCCCTGTACCCTGGCCACCCCGCGGCTCTCAAGCAGGCCCGGGTCCCGGCCTCTCCGGGCGGCCTTGAAGACCCGTCCTCCTGTCCAGCCAGTCGACGGCCGGCCCGGGCCTGGCACCTCTCTCCGCCTCCTTGGGACAAATAGCACATGATCCCGGCGCTCTCGCGCCCAGCGGGCCCCCGCCGGGTCGTGCAACCAGGGACCCCGGGTCCGCATCCCTCAACTGGACACATTCTTGCGCGGGCACCTCTCCCTTCCCCTCCCCCTAAGCTCTCACCTCGTCCCGGCAGGGCTCCCCAGCAGCTCAGCAGAGTGCAAAGGGACAAACTTTCCGGCGAACGTGGGACGCGAGTCGGGACAGGTTCGG